GCCTATTATTATTATTATTATTATGCATGAAAGTTAGTGAAGTATGTTGGCCTGCTATATTCAGAAGAAGAAGAAGCTTGTGTCCTCATTTACAGTGAGAATCATGCAGTAAATTTTATTTATAGGCAACAATAAATGTTTCTGCTCCTCCAGATACACGCTCACATTTAAGGTGACACCTGGTTATATCACAGATAAATGGCTGTTCATAGCCTTTAGATGCTGCAGTAATAACAAACAGTAAATAATAATGAGGACCGTCAGCAAATGGCAAGGATCGTGGTCTGTGTGCCAAGCAAACACCATCAGAGCCAAATCTGGAAAACAAATCTAAAAACCTCCAACTCAGATGATTCTTTAGATTAATAAATGACTGGGATTGTTCCTTTTAAAAAAACAAATAAATCTGAATTGTTATTTGCTTGACTAGCCTGGAGGATCTGAAATGCACTTGGATAGCTGCAGATTTGTTTTAAACAGGAGTTGTATAAAGTAGCGCTCAAAGAATCAAAGAGGGGTAGTGAGACATATAAAGGTAAAGGTAAAGGTAAACGACCCCTGGGAGTAAAGTCCAGTTGTGAACGATTCTGGGGTTGCAGTGCTCATCTCGCTTTAAAGGCTGATGGAGCCGGCATTTGTCCACAGTTTTTCTGGGACATGTGGCCAGCATGACTAAGCCACTTCTGGTGAAACCAGAGCAGTGCATGGAAACGCCGTTTACCTTCCCGCCGGAGCAGTACCTATTTATCTACTTGCACTTTGACGTGCTTCCGAACTGCTAGGTTGGCAGGAGCAGGGACCGAACAATGGGAGCTCACCCCGATGCAGGGATTCGAACCGCTGACCTTCTGATCAGCAAGCCCAAGGCTCAGTGGTTTACCAAGATCCAGGGGTCCCCTCCTTCTGTCTGTTCCTCTGTCTTCTGCTGCTGCTTTGCCATGCATAGGAAATTTTACAGTGAAGTCCTACAAATGTTTGCTCAAAATCAAGACCTGTTGTATTCTCTAGGACTTACCTCCAGGTAAGTCTGCATAGGAACACAACTCATTGATTTACATTTGCATACAAGTGAAAGCAGTTGCTCTGAAGCTGCAAGAATCCCCCCCCCCCCCGCCCATGTTTGAGGCATGTGTGTGCTTTGGATGTGCTGGCTTCAGGCACCAGGCCCGTTGGCAGACCAACTCTGCATTACAAAGATGTCTGCAAACGTGACACGAAGGCTGGCAACATCAACCCCGCCGGGGAGGGGGGGACAACTCCTTGCAGATGGCCGCAGGGCCTGGAGACAGACAATCAGGTCGTGCATCCATAGCAGTGACCAGAGGAGGAATGACCGCTGGGAGCAGAGCAGAGAGAAGAAATGCTATGGTGCATCTGCAGCAGCAAAACCGGACGCCTTCATCTGCCCCAAGTGCAACAAAACATGTCTCTCCTGTACTAGCCTCTACTGTCACAGCAGGCGCTGTAACTCTCCAATGGTTTGTTTGTTTTTAAATAACATTTTTTTGATTTTCCAAAAATAAAAAAATACAAAACCACAACAATACAAAAACAAAACAAACTAACTTCCCTCTAATCCCTTCCCTGGTTCCATTATTTATCAACATACTGCATGTCCATTGTTAAATTTGTAACATATTTAAATCACCTATTATCCATTCATTGTAAAATTACAAGTACTTTTAAAACCCTGCCAATGTATTAACCTCTGTACAATGCTTCTGTATATATGAAATAACCATCTTCCATTCTTCCTTAAGTTCATTGTCGTCTCTGCCTCTTAATTTCATTGTCAGTTTTGCCATTTCTGCATATTCCATTAACTTAACTTGCCAATCTTATTTAATTGGGACACCTTCTTCTTTCCAATGTTGTGCTAGTAACGTCCGTGCGGCTGTAGTTGCATACATAAATAAATTATTATGTGATTTTGGTCAGTCCACTCCTGTAATGCCTAGTAGAAAAGCTTCTGGTTTTTTAACAAGCTATTTTGAACACCTTCTTCATTTCATTATAGATAGTTTCCCAATATTTCTTTACAATTTTACAATCCCACCACATATGGAAAAATGTCCCTTCTGTTATTTTGCATTTCCAACACTTGCTTTCCTTAGTTTTGTACATTTTTGCTAACTTGACTGGATAACTCTCCAACGATTTGACTTCACCCCCCAAAGGCTCACTCCTCTGTTGTCTCCTGAGACAGACAGATGCCAACAATCTGTGCTCGGAGGGATCTCAGACAGCAGCATCTTGGAAGAGACATCATGTATATTAAGAACAAACTCGTTCTCGGCGGTGATCCATGTTTAGCCAAAACTAGTTGGCACAAAGAATCTTGAAGAAAGAGTACTTTGCAGAATGCTGCTTTTATTCTTAAAAGTCATCTTCTCCAACCATGACCGACAGCTGTTACACACACCAAACGCAACCAGCTTTCTACCGTCCACCCAACCCACACCCAACACTAACATTGACCACTCTATATATACAGGTACAATTTGGTGAAAGGTTGCATGAGTCATTGTAGGCCGCTGACTAATGCTGACTTAGTTTTTTTAGCATTAAAGAAACAGCGGCCAATTTTTAGCCGTGACAAACTGCACATCTGTGGGCAAGAGGGAGTGGGAGACCCAAGGTTTGCAGAAAGACTCTGCCCGACTTCAAACAAAAACCATAGGAAGAAAGCCCTGAAGGAAAGGCAAGTACAGTGGTACCTCGGGTTACAGACGCTTCAGGTTACAGACTCCGCTAACCTAGAAATAGTACCTCGGGTTAAGAACTTTGCTTCAGGATGAGAACATAAATTGTGCTCCGGCGGCGCGGCAGCAGCAGGAGGCCCCATTAGCTAAAGTGGTGCTTCAGTTAAGAACAGTTTCAGGTTAAGAACGAACCTCCAGAATGAATTAAGTACTTAACCTGAGGTAGGTAAAGGTAAAAGGACCCCTGACCATTAGGTCCAGTCGTGACCGACTCTGGGGTTGCGGCGCTCATCTCGCTTTATTGGCCGAGGGAGCCGGCGTACAGCTTCTGGGTCATGTGGCCAGCATGACTAAGCTGCTTCTGGCGAACCAGAGCAGCGCACAGAAACGCCGTTTACCTTCCCGCCGGAGCGGTACCTATTTATCTACTTGCACTGTGTGCTTTTGAACTGCTAGGTTGGCAGGAGCAGGGACCGAGCAACGGGAACTCACCCCGTCACGGGGATTCGAACCACCGACCTTCTGATTGGCAAGTCCTAGGCTCTGTGGTTTAACCCACAGCGCCACCCGCGTCCCTTTTAACCTGATGTACCACTGTACTAAAACAGGTTGGTGAGGACTAAGCATTGTCAGTATGCCATGCTGTCCAGCAACAGTGGTGGACTTTGGGCTTTCAAATTTCAGCAGTGCCCTGTGTGATGCCAGAATTTGGCACCCTCTCTGACTCTCACCTTCCATTCTAAGTCATTGCTGTGGCGCCCCCTGCAGGGCACTCTCTGTTTGGTGCCCAGTGCAGGTGAGCCTGTTGTGCTCACCTAAATCCATCTTTGCTGGCAGTTGCAGGAGGAATGGAGCAGATAAAAGAATTGGGCAGGGGCATTGCTGGCTGGTTTCCTGAACAGGAATGTTCTGAATGGCACCATTTTGTTGTATCTGTTTCTCACTTATACAAGACAGATGGGATAGTAAAGATGGCACCATCTTCAGGTTGTTGTTATTGTTGTTGTTTTCTCAAGTAAATTTTTATTGTTTTCCTTACATATTCTTTTCCAACAAACCATATTAATGCCATACATTCCCTTTGACTCTGCCGAGTCGCGACTCCCCTCCCTCCCTGCAATTGGTATATTTAACCCCTTTCTATCGCGCACATCATTCTCACAATAGTACTATTATACATTGAAGGTATTATGTCAATCCTGCTAGTGTCTTGACTTCTTTACAATTCTCCTTTAAGTATTCAATAAATTTACTCCAATTATTTTGGTATCTTTGGTCTTCCTGGTCCCGGATCCTCCCTGACAATTTGGCAAGTTCTGCGTATTCTGTCAATTTCACCTGCCACTCCTGAATGGTTGGTATGTCTTGTGTTTTCCATCTTTGGGCCAGGAGGGTTCTTGCAGCGGCCATAGCATACATGAACAGATTTTGGTCTCCCATTTTCATTTCCATTCCTATTAAACCCTAATAGACACGCTTCCGGCCTTTGTTTGTTGTTTTTTTAAAAAATATCAGTCACCTGATAAATTGCAGTAGTTTTTTCAGTCGCTCCAAATATTTTCAATTGATTAAACAGAAAGCTGGATTGATTAAATATTGCAGAAATCAAAAATGACACACAGTCTCCATAACCTTGCTAATAATAAATGTATACCTCTCTTGCCTTATTTCCACGGCTGATGCAAATGTCCTTCTTGCAGATCTTTTGAAAAATGGAAAACTTTATTTTTAACGCTGGTGATGATGAGTCACCTTTTCGGGGCTGCTTGGTATGATGTCCTGAAAATGACAAAGAATACAAATATAAACAATTTGAAACGGAGACCAATTGTTTTGTGCTTGTGCTGCATTTCAGCGGGAGTGTTGAACAGCCATGGGATATGTCCTTGCAGTGGCGTAGCGTGGGTTGTCTGCACCCGGGGCAAGGCAAGTAATTTGCGCCCCCTAACCCGTGGATTTTAGTAGGTGCAGAGAGCTGCGAGTGCGAGCACGCCCCCCCCCGATGTTGCACCCGGTGCGGCCGGCCCCCCCCCGCACCCCCCACGCTACGCCACTGTGTCCTTGGCTGCAGAATTCAAAGCACAGAACAAATTATGCAAAATAAGGTGTATAGTGGGAATTGGCTCGATTTGCACACTAGATGCAAGTCACAGATTCCACTGTCTATTCCAGCAATAGAAAGAAGAATCTGTGACTTGCATATATTATGCAAATTGAGCCAACTTCCTTACTGGTGTAGAAATGTGATTCTTCTTTTTCTTAAGTGGATGTTTCAAAGTGCACAAAATAGGACCCACCTGGAAGCTTCCCCCCTGAACCCAGAGAAATTGGGATCTTTTGCTGTTTTCTTTTGCCGTTGAAAACAACAAAAGATCCCAATTTCTCTGGGTTCAGGGGGGAAAGCTTCCAGGGCTGTAGCTAGTGGGTGGTAAGGTGGGCCAGATAGTAAAATTCATGTTAAATTGCTGTTTTAGGGGTTGTTTTTAAAAGTCTGGAACGGATTAATTTGTTTTGCATTCCTTTCTATGGGAAAGCGCGCCTTGGTTTTGGAACGCTTTGGTTTTGGAATGGAGTTCTGGAACGGATTAAGTTTGAGAACCAAGGTACCACTGTAATAGCCCTTTAAATGTAAAATTTGCATTCATGTCCTACTTAGAATCATAGAATTGTAGAGTTGGAACAGGTCTAAAAATCTGCCTTAAAGATGGAGGCAGGTCCACGTGTCAGTAGAGGACTTGCCCTGCAATTCACACACACACCTCCCGTGCTCAGGACTGCCAAATTTCAGGCTGCTTTCTACTGCAAAGTTTCACTACACAGCTGCTGAAAAGTCTCCGTGAGTCCCCATCCTTTTTTGCCCAGCAGGCGGTGTGAACACTGAGCTGCAAATAAGAAGCCATTTGCAACCTCTGGAAAGCATTGCCGCGACGACGTTGAGTAATTAATGGCATTACTTTTAATAGATACTCCGGAAAGTGCTAAGTCAGTGACATCTGCGGCACTGTGGCGAGGATGATACCTTCAGGGAGAATATTTTTAACACGGCAATACCTCAAAAGGAAGCCTGAAGGCAGGCTGCAAATGGCTACGCACGGTGAAGGAGCAGCTTGCGGAGTTCCAGGCCTGTTTTCTTTTTATGCGCTCAGCTCAAAACACCCAATTTGCTGGCAAGCATCTTAATTAGGAGTTGCACAGCGTTTGTTTTCTTTTTGAGGATGCTGGAGGGAATTAGCCGGCAAACTTTGTAGCTAATAATGTGCGCCCCAATCCACCAAGGGAGACCCGTTGAGCAGAAGTTTCTGCTTGCAAGGGCTGCTGATGTAGATAAATTACCTGGAAATGGAACCAGAGAAGGGTGTTCCGTGAAGGAGAAATGGAAGGGAAGGGAAGTTTTCCACAAGAAGGAGACAGAGAAAGGCCAGGTGTGTTGCTGTAAACAAAAAGCAGAAGGGGGACAGAACTTAGGGGAAGGGTTGTAGGTCAATGGGACAACATCTGCTTCACTTGTGCAGATGAAAGAAGGTAAAGGTAAAGGGACCCTTGACCGTTAGGTCCAGTCGTGGCCGACTCTGGGGTTGCGGCACTCATCTCGCTTTATTGGCCGAGGGAGCCGGCGTACAGCTTCCGAGTCATGTGGCCAGCATGACTAAGCCGCTTCTGGCGAACCAGAGCAGCGCACGGAATCGCCGTTTACCTTCCCGCCAGAGCGGTACCTATTTATCTACTTGCACTTTGACGTGCTTTCGAACTGCTAGGTTGGCAGGAGACCCTGTCTGAAATTGTGGAGGGCCTCTGCCAGCCAGGGTAACTGTACCATACCCTCCAACATCCCTCAGATGAAAATAGGGACATTTTTCATTCCCCGCAACTGACCTTCCTCAAACCCCCCCCCCACTAAGTAGTGGGTGGACATAGCAGACGACACAGAGATTTCTCCAAGTAGTTCTTTATAAGTAAGCTGGAACTGAACTGAACTGAACAGCTCAGCCTGCCTGCTTTTATAGGCAGCCGGCTGTCAACATTGTAACAACAATGGCGGTTTTCCCGCCTAAATTAACTTGCTTTGACCTGAGTGAAAACTATATACACAATACCCCTGGCGGCTAGGGTGAAAACTTCAATACATAACACCCCCATTTTTGGTCCCCTGCCACAGAACATTTCCTGTCAGAAGAAGGGCGAGTGCCACCCCCACAACACCAATGGGACACAGCACACACACCCTCCACCGTCCTGAGAAAACCCATTCATCCTGATATATCTTCTTCTTCTTCCTCTTCTTCTTCTTCTTCTTCTTCTTCTTCGGTGGGTTTGCAAAAAGAAAAACACACACCCGTAAATAAATTTTAGAAAGGGGAATATTAGATGCAGGTGCACAAAGCATTTTTAAAAAATCAAAACAAGGCTCCTTGCTCCCCTTTCTTGCTGCCCAAGGCGGTCCTGCCCTCTGCCTGCCCCTCAGAGCTAGCGCAAAACACAGGACTGGGCCTTAGAAACCACAGTCTCTCTTCCTCCTCGCTGGCTCTCTAACAGCCTGCCCAAGGCATAGCTGTCAACTTACAGATTTGGAACGTGTCCAGAGGAGGGCAACCAAAATGGTCAAAGGCCTGGAAATGATGCCTTATGAGGAACGGCTAAGGGAGCTGGGCATGTTTAGCCTGGAGAAGAGGAGGTTAAGGGGTGATATGATAGCCATGTTCAAATATATAAAAGGATGTCACATAGAGGAGGGAGAAAGGTTGTTTTCTGCTGCTCCAGAGAAGCAGACACGGAGCAATGGATCCAAACTACAAGAAAGAAGATTCCACCTAAACATTAGGAAGAACTTCCTGACAGTAAGAGCTGTTCGACAGTGGAATTTGCTGCCAAGGAGTGTGTTGGAGTCTCCTTCTTTGGAGGTCTTTAAGCAGAGGCTTGACAACCATATGTCAGGAGTGCTCTGATGGTGTTTCCTGCTTGGCAGGGGGTTGGACTCGATGGCCTTTGTGGTCTCTTCCAACTCTATGATTCTATGATTCTATGAAAATAAGGGACCAGCAGCCTCAAAAATAAGGGATCAGCAGCCAAAATAAGGGATTTTCCCAGCACAGGTATGTTCAACTTCTGAGCCCCTCCAAGCCAAAGGCAGAAAGCCCAGCCAGCAGCCAAACGAAGTCTCAAGCGGTGGTTCCCACAGCGCAGCGACCTGGCAAAGGGGATGCAGCAAGGAAAACCACTGTCACCTCTCCACTGGGAAGCGCTGAGCAAAGGCGAGTCCCCAAGCATCACGGCTGATTTGATCGGCACAAGGCATGCAAGCTCCACCCTCCAGTCATTCTTAGACTCCTTATTGGGTGAGCAACGCAGCCAAGCAACACAGTTGGAGCCTCCCTCCACCCTGGCTGGCAGGCAGGGAGGGAGAGGAGCTGCTTCCTTTGAAATCCGGGAAATTTAAGGGACATCATCAATAAGGGACAGCAGCGGGACACAGCGCTGGGATAAGGGACTTTCCCGCCAAATAAGGGACTGTTGACAGCTATGGCCCAAGGGAGGAGGTCAGCAGCGGCAGCCATGGAGAGGCTATGGAGAGGCAATAGGATGCTCCCTCAGAGCTGCTACAGCTGCAGCCGCCATTGCCTGGGATAAGCGCCGGCTCATTCTCCTGCCCAAACGTGGTAGTGGCAGCACCGGCAGAGGAAATAGGGGCATTCCGGGATCAAATCAGAGGCCCAGGATGGCTTTTTTGATTCCGGGACTATCCCTGGAAAATCTTGGAGGGTATGCTATACAGTGGTACCTCGGGTTAAGAGCTTAATTCGTTCTGAAGGTCCATTCTTAACTTGAAACTGTTCTTAACCTGAGGTACCACTTTAGCTAATGGGGCCTCCCGCTGCCGCTCAATCTCTGTTCTCATCCTGAAGCAAAGTTCTTAACCCGAGGTACTATTTCTGGGTTAGCGGAGTCTGTAACCTGAAGCGTATGTAACCTAAAGCATATGTAACCTGAGGTACTACTGTACTGAACTAGATGGACCAGGACATTGGAAGGGATATGGATTCATACCGTCCAATTCACACCCCCCCCACGCAAAATCAGGATGAGTGACTCCTGGGTGAGTCATGTGACCCATGCCTCGCTCCCCCCCCCCCCATGCTTTTTGGGGGGATGAGAGCACAGTGAGATTGTGCGAGAGCACGAGACTCAAAATGGCCGCCGATATCTTGTGCAGAAAAACGGGGTGTCCCTTTTTTCCAGGGTACTTGGAAGGTATGCAGATTCCTCATCCCTGGGAAATGAGGGGTGTCTAAAGGGAGAAAGGTATCAACCCCAAACAACTCCAGAGAAAAATTTTCATCGAAACTTCCCTCAATATTTTTATATGAACGAAACAAGCATAATGATGCAGAAATCTCTCTCTTTTTCTTTTTTTTCCATTTCTCTCTCCCCCCTCCCCTCCCACCCCCACCTATATATAGTAATAAAATAATTTTGCTCATTAGCAAATCAGCCCCGGTGGTGCTTTGTTGCTGTCTCTGAAACTAGCAGCACAGAATTCATGAGTCAAAAGCCGGACAAATTGAATAGCCGAGAGTTCATTTCAGCAGAGAGGATCTCATTATCTGGCTGGCTAGTCATCTACAGAGATGGATAGATCACGGCTGGCAGCTGAGGCCCTGCAAATGAGTCCATCTATGTATTTGGAAGAAATGGAGACTAATAAAAAATAATAATAAAATTAGCTGCTTTCCCCGCGTTTACTTACTCTCTCGTTCACCCAAAGGGTATCTTAAGGGGCTGGATGGAGAGGGCCAGATTCTTGAAATGGGCTGAAAGACACAAAAAACAATATGTGTGTACATCTTTGCTCAAGACCCTCAGCAATGGGAGGAGTGAACTACACAGAAAGGATGAGGTGAGGCTTTCATTTGAACAGACCGTTTTCCATGTGGATGATAAGCCACTTGTTTTTATTAGGTCCAGTTTGTCATTTTTCATCTATTGCAGTCGTACCTTGGTTTTCGAACGCCTTGTGAGTCGAACGTTTTGGCTCCCAAACGTCACAAACCCAGAAGTGACTGTTCCGGTTTGTGAACTATTTTTGGAACCCGAATGTCTGACGGGGCTTCTGATTGACTGCAGGAGCTGTGTTTTGGTTTTTGAACGTTTTGGAAGTCGAATGGACTTCTG